ATAAACTTTCTACTTATAAATTTCAGAAAGTAAGTGTATTAATATTTTGATTCTTATATTATTATGTAAGATTCCAGGTATTTAATACAAATATTTCTTTCTATTGGATTGTTATTAAATTATCAGGTCGTAAGTATTTGAATCTATATTTTAAATACAATTTTTGGTCATTTAAAAAATAATATGTATCCTAAATAAAACTTTTAATCAATTTTCAATTACAGTAAGAATAAGTAAGTATTTTAAGTCAGTATTTCAAGCCATTAATTAAATTCAAACATTCTTCCAATATACATTATATTAAAAATTAACATGTTTATAAAATAAATATGCGATATATTACTAGGCCGTATGTATTTTAATATATTTTGGAATACAAGTTTTCTGCGAGTTCATGTTTTAGAATAGAAATCCTATCTATTTTATATAAATTCTATACAATAATTTTTAATTGATCTTTGTTATTTATTATCAGGTGAGAAATTAAACAGTAACATTCTAATCTTACATCTAATATAACTAAAAATTTTTATTGACTTATAATCAAACTGTTAGGACTTTGTAATTATCGTTTGTATACACATTAAATTTAAGCAAATTCCTGGAAATTGACATTAATTTAATATCAAAAATCGACAAAAGCTCGTAAGTATTTCCGTGTATAAGTTTGAGCTTAGTACTGTATTAAATGTCAAATAATTTTGATTGGATTCTTATATCAACCGTTAGTTTGTAAGTAATTATCTCGTTAATCTATAGTAATTCAAAATGAACACAAGATTAATTAATATCACTTTAATCAACAATTAGTTCGTAAGTAATCAAGGGCGCTGTTTATAATTTTAAATAATTAATTGGTTGTTCGTTAATTTAACATCAATATGTTTTTATAATCGACCTTTAACAGGTAAATATGTACATTTTAATTCGCATAATTTTAAAGTATACATTTAATTAATTAATATTAAAAATTTATCTAAAAATAGCAAGTAAGAATTTCGTACATAACCATAAGTATTTAAGAGTTTCATGCAATAAAATTAAATTCCATTTCCATCTGTTATATTAGCGAGTGGGTATTGAGTATTGGATTACTTAAATTTATATGACGATATTTTATATAAAATTTAACCCCAAATACGCATTCTTATTTATTATAGGATGTATGTTTTTGTGCTCATATCATCAAGTTTATGTTAAATTTTTAATAATAATGCAATTTATAATGTATAGCGAGTAAGTATTTGCATTTTATAATTAAAAATTAATTATTATCATTGGAACCATTTCTAATTGACCGTTAATTAACATAGCGTGTAAGTATCCTTGTATTTGAATGCAATGATTTTTAAACCACACATTTCGGTCAATTTACCATACATTTTTAAATAACCTTTATTTAATAGAAGGCAAGTAAATTAATGGCTTCTAAAATATATGCTTAATAAAATAAACATCTAAAATTTACCATCAAAACAACATATTAGGGGGTAATTATTTACCATGATTTATAAAATATACACTCTCTTAAATTAAATACTAATTGTCGCTTATTTTACCGTTAGAGTGTAAGTTATATACAGTATCACTTAATTATGAAAGTTTTCAAAAAGCTTTAGCTCGACATCATAAAAATATTATTTAACACATATAGCTCGTGAGTATCTAAAGTTTACATTCGGCATAATGATTTTAAACATAAACCTCCGGCTAATAAGTGAACACAAATATATAATACTTAAATATTAATTCTTTAACTACCAGTCGGTAAGTACGAGATTAGTATTGTTTAATCAACTTACGCTATTATTTTTGATATCTCTTTAATTAATATTTAATTAAACCGTTAGCTTGTAAGCATTTTATATTTTGTAATTATAATTTTGAAACACGAGTCTTCAGAAACTCATGTAACATTAATTTCGTTCTCTAAGACGGTAAGAATCTTTGATTTATAATATTGAAAACATGTATGAAAATCACTAATTATAGATAATTAAAATGATATTAGCGGGTAAGCGCACTATTTAATGGTTTAAATTATTTTCATTGTTGAATATTGTTTTCGATATCAGAATTAAATAAATAAATACTATAAATTATTAGCAAGTGAGTATATGAATAATTCAATCCATTAATAATCGGCTAAATTTATGTTATATTAATCGTTTTTTAATGAATAAATCCAGACTGTAAGTACTTTTGCGTTGTATTTTATATATTTAAAAAAAAACTCAACTAATTTACTAAAAATTAATTTATTAGACTGTGAGTATGAAAAATAATCTCTAGTTTCGGCTTTTAAATATATAACAAAACAATGTTTATCTGATAAATTAGAAAGTAAGTAGTGGATCATTAAAATTAAAAATTCTCATAAAGTATACGTACTTTGTTTAAATTATAAATTTTTCGATTAACAACATCCTTCAGACTGTGAGTATTCGTCTATCATATTAAAAACTAAAAAATTTCAGCCGAATCAAATATTTATAAGCACTTCTCGAAATTCTATTATCAAATCAAATAGACGGTAAATACTCGTGAATATTATTGTCTTCAAATAATAGCACTATTAACTAAATAGAAGTATACTTTATCAGAGAGTAAGCGTTTCCACAATAAATTTCGGAATTTTGTTGTCATAATCAAGTTAATATAATAACTCAATTGATTTTAGATTGTAAGTATTCGAAAATTTGAAGGTGTGGGATTATAAAATGAGAGCTTATCAAATTAATTATCGGATAATCTAATCGATTGTTAGCGAGTGAGTATTTGAGCATTTAAATTTATAACAATTTGGATTCGGAATTGTCACCAATTTCCAATAAAATCTGATGAAAATATACTTAATGGTTGACTGATAGAACGTAAGTGTTACGTATAAGCTTGAAATTTTGATAAATTATCGCAAAAATTTTAGCATTAAAAATTTTTTGTCCACTTTAGGGAGTGAGTGTTTAATAATTATAAAAAATATTAATTAACTTATCGAGTACTGTAATTTAACTATCAATTGAATCATTAGCGCGTAAGTATTCTATTAGTCTCTTTGTTAACACAATATTATAAATTTTTTGTCTTGATGTATGAAAATTAAATTTAACAAAGTTAAAAAACGTTCCTGTGTTTATTTGGCTAGATGGCGTGAAGTTTACATCAAACGTCTAGAAAGTGAATTTAACAACTGGACTAGTGGTAACAAAGAAATTGACATATTTATCCGGAAAAACCAACTTAAAGCATTGCTTCATACAGAGGTTATCGAGTGGATTCCTTATAATCGATTTCAGGGAGTTAAATACCTTGCAGAGGGCGGTTTTGGCAAAGTTTATACAGCAACTTGGATCGACGGTTATATTGCATATTGGGATTTTTCTGATGAAAAATGGACAAGACAAGATAATAATAAAATATACTGTTTAAAGAGTCTGGATAATTCATCGAATAACATAAAGAAATTTTTACAAGAGGTTACCTATTTCTTCATATGCTATATGCTATATGTTTAAAATTAGCTGACCCGTCGATATTTTTTAGATCGAAAATCAACTCAAATTTAGAGGAAAACGAGCAATTTCAATGCATGGAATAACAAGAGATCCAGAGGGAAATTACATGATGGTTATGCAATACGCAAAAGAAGGAAGCCTTAGAAAGATGCTAAATAGAAAATATCATACGTTAAGTTGGAATCGTAAGATAACAATTTTGAGCAGAATCGCGCAATGTCTTAAGGAAATTCACGATGCTAAATTAGTCCACAAAGATCTCCATTCCGGCAATATTGTAATGCAAGATTCATCTAGACCATTTATCACTGATTTCGGCCTTTGCAAACCAGTGAGTCAAGAATCGACTTCAAAAATATATGGAGTTATTCCATTTATGGCACCTGAGGTTTTAAAAGAAAATAAATATACCGAAGCGTCAGATATTTTTTCCTTTGGTATTATTATGTCTGAAGTATTAACTGGATATCCACCCCACCACGATGTTCCGCACGATGCAGATCTTGTAATGCATATTGTTCATGGTCTCCGTCCAAAAATTAGACATGAAGTCCCTCAACTACTGTTAGATTTAATGAATAGATGCTTAGATATTAATTCTCTGAAACGACCAACTGCGGCCCAATTAGTCAAAGATTTAGAGAAATATGCCATGGATACCGATGGGAATTTGGATTCTTATGGCAATTTACCTGAAATAGTTAAGCAAATCAAGGAAATCAAGAGAATTAGGAGAAAATCAGGATTCTATTCAAGAAATTTCTGTTCTTATATTACGCATTCAGAGTCTTGCTATACAAGCCGTCTCATCGATCAGAAACCTGTTTAAACTGTAAATGCCTCAGAGTATTTTGAAATTTACTGTAAATTGGAATTTATTGCAAATTGACTAAAGTTATATGTATTAATTTATTAGATACTGTTTCGTCAATCTAAATGAAACCTCGGCTACCTTTGATTATTACTTTGTTTTTGATCCTTTAAGATATTTCTGTTAAAGTGAAATATTTATTTTATTCTTTAAATTTGAATTTTATTATTTATGCAAAATTTTAACTAAATTTTATCTTTATACTGTACTTTATTATGACATCATTGTCCGAAGGACATTAACGGGTAGACATCCTTTTGTCACGTCCTGTCTGTCCGCACGCGTGTTCAACCAATCATCTGTCTTGTCTTTTCATGCCTGTTTGTCCGCACGCGTCTATACGCGTGTTTCATCACAGTTTTATCACTAGATAATGGAAAACGTTAAATATACGATTAGAAGTTTCTTATTAATTACGTAATTTGATCTCTTCGGGCAATCAAATTACGTTTCGAATAATTTTGATTATGATTAATCAAATAAATCATCAAATAAATAATTAATGATATCAATAATTTATTTGATTGATTGATTTTATTAATTAGCTTTTAATTTTATCATGTATTTTGCTTTACTATTTTATATTTGTCCATAATACATAATATTTTAATAAAATGGATGTCAATCCTCTTCGTGATACCCTTCGAAAACGTAAAGACAGAAAGAATGAGACTTCTGAACAACGTGACCTTCGTCAAAAGCGAGATAGGGAAAGAAAATATGTAAAAAGATTGAATGAGAATGCCGAACAACGTGAAACTCGTTTAAGTAAAGACCGTGAACGTTACCAAAGAAGATACAAAAATCCGCTCCATGTTATTGATGTTCAACCAAACACTTCACACCATATCATTGATGACTATCTTCCCGATTCTGATTTAGACTTACTTCACAAGTTTCGTTCTAAAATTGATAATTTCACCAATAATCTTTGTACTACATGCAATGAATGTTTTCCTTCAATCGAACTCATATGTGGTGAATGTCGTCGCTGTCACTCTGAAATTAAAGAATTGAAAAGACTTAATTTGAATCCTGAGTTAAAAAAGTTCTCATCAAGAAATAACATGAATCCGGGTGACGTACCTAAGGAATTGCAAGGTCTTACTCAGATAGAGGAGATGCTCATCGCTCAGATATTTCCTATCGTCTCTGTATATTATCTGCATGGTGGTCAATATGCATATCGTGGTAATGTGATTAATTTTCCTCAAGACATTGAAGAATTTGCTACACGTTTACCTCACCATCCATCATCACTTGATATTCTTGTCGTGCGTCGTCACTCTTCTGATAGTAGAACATTTAAAGATTTCAACGTACGTCGTTCTGTGATATATAATGCTCTTCATTGGTTGAAACACAACAATCGTTACTATTCCAATATTATTATTGATGAAGAAAATTTAAGATCTTTACCTGAAAATGGATC